TGATCTTGAAACACTGGCTGCTGCAACGAAAGAACAATCATCATACGCCAGTACGAAGGCATTCCGGTCAAAGAATGCCGAGCTAATAAGAATTCCGTTACCCAATTGCGATGGAAAATTCGAATACGGATCGATTGATTATTGGAAGTGTTACATCCAAGTGATAAGCAGCGGGAGTGCACATCATGTTGGCAGTTGCAAAATGGGACCAACGACTGACACCACTTCTGTGGTCGATCCAGAGTTGCGAGTTCACGGAATCAACGGTTTGAGAGTTATTGACGGCAGTGTGTAAGTATAGAATGGGCTTTATTCAATGGAATAGTCTTGTTCAATAGATAAAGCCTTGTTCAAAAAAGCAACAAAATGAGAAGAAGAATAAACAAAATCATTTCGTTCATTCTAGAATGCCTTACATCACTTCAGGACATCCAACAGCACCCATCGTGATGATAGCCGAAAAAGGTTCTGATTTTATCAAAAAGCAATATTTATTTTTGGATTAGGTTTAAAACTTTTGATGGTTCACACTCTAATAAAGGAAATGTTTTGATTGCACCAGATTTTTATTCTAATAATTTCATTAGTAGACTTTGGAACATAAACATTAAACAAATCTGAATAACAATTAAATTAATCATGGATGAAATAAATTCGCCTGAGTTTCAATATATGCTAGCTTATTCTAATGTTACAGAATAAAATCCCTGTATCTCCCTTGCGAATTATTGTAAAGAGAGGTAAATGAATTTTGAATTTAAAAAAATGTGGTTAATTTGATAAGCTGGACATTTGTTAAGCGGGCAATGGTAATTTTCTGCACTGAATCAAGAGCATTAAAATTAAACTTCAAAATTTACTATGTGGAGTTGATTATTCTGCACTTCAACGATTAGATCTATTTGCTATTTGCCAGTGATAAGATAAACATCAGAAGAAGAAGAAAAAATCATACAAAAAATATGAAATGTTCTCAGTAGAATAGAAATAATATGCAGGAAGAAAAAACAAGAACGAAAAGAGCAAAATGGGCAAAGAACAAGTTTGTGCTGCGAACATCGCGCATGATTCACAGACTTGTTCACTTCATGTGGCGTTATGAAGAATTCTCGGCAACAAAAATCAGGTGAGACAAAATCCGGATGAAAAATATGATGAATTCGGGAATGTTGAAAATCTGGACGGTATGAAAATACGGATGAACAAAAATCTGGACGAAAAAAAATCAGGGTGAAATTCCGGATTCTGTCACATTCCTTCATTATGACACCCAATAAACATCGACTGGCTGAAATAAGGCCCGTTCTAACGTTGATGATTTCAGTACGCCCAACGGTAATACTTACTGTCTTTTTCACCTAATTTACATGTTGCAACAACAGAAATCTTCATATAACAATATGACGTAGAAACTAACGCCATCTCACGACGCGTACCATTACCATATGAATGTATTATTGTAACCTCAAATTGTGTCCCATTCATTGTTTGATTAAATGTTGTCGCAGGTACGGGTCGCTAGATGGCGCTAGTTATGCACATTGTCTTAGCTGTCAGATTGTGCAAAATAAAAATATATTAATCATCGATTGATTCAAGTTAGATATCAAAAGAAACCATAAAAAAGAAACCCTTGATAATAACGCAATAAAAAACATTTTGTAAGATCACTCACTTACCCAGAGTGATTTAAATAAAACATATTTGAAGTGGTCAAGGAGCTAACCTAAAAATGTGACATTCGATAGAACCAGATTTATATTTGAATTACAAGAATATATTATTTCAAACCGTTTTCGCATTAATGTTGTTTATCGAATAAGTGTCTTTTTTGCATGCACGAAAAATTTGAGAATAGTAATCGAAGCCTAGGCGTTCAGTATTTAAAATGTGTATAGAATTTATGAAAGCGCGATGGAACAAAGAACATTTAAACTGATACAACCAAATTGTTTGCTGTCAAATCCTGTCTCACTCACACCAACCGTCACACTGACTCGTTCGTGTACGAATTGCTGTTAGCGTAAAAGAGATGTTGTTCGCAGTAAACTCAGTTTAGATGTTCTTTAGGCTTTCATTGAAGCCTATTGTATTCACTCGGGAAGCAATCATCTAGTGAAATCAAAAAGGCATTGATGGTTGATCAAGAATATTAATTTTACGAAGCATTCTATAGAAATGTAAATAAATCACGATTACGTAATTAAAAAAAAGTCGATTGAATTGATTGGCTCGAGTTGATATGAATATAAAATATTTCGAAAACACTTAAATAATTCAGAGCAGCGTGAATCGTATTTATTTCGACGGAAAGTAATAGAATCGAATTAGTTTTGTTCAATCGTCGGAGAGAGTAGAACCAACTTTATATAAACATTGTACTTAAATTTATTTTATTCTGGAAAAAATAATCGTCGTAAAATGTCGAATCAATCGTGTTGGTCGAACGCGTGTGCAGCTGAAAGTGTTGGCACTACGAATCAATTGTTCGTGTCGTTAGTCAACACGATTTTAGCAGCTCAATGCGCCATTTCTCCACCAGGAATGTGGCCCGAAGATTATGGCAAAATTGCGATTAAGAAAAGTACGCTCGAAAAAACAATAAATTTACTTTTTTACGTTCTCACGTTTCGCCTATTTCCAACTCAGAGTCACGAGAATTCGATTTCATCGTGGTTGGGTCTGGTGCCGGCGGATCTGTGGTAGCGAGTCGATTGAGTGAGAACCCGAATTGGAGCGTGCTGTTGATCGAAGCAGGTGGTGATCCACCTATTGAATCTGAGGTACTCCATTCAATTTTTTTGTTTTGAAAGCAAATTCAAATTGTTTTTAACGACCAACTATAAGTATAATATAACTATAGCTTGTCAAAACTTGTTTCTTTCGACTAAATTTACATGTTGGCAATAAAAGTTTCAGCCTCTTTGGACATCGATGATAAATACCAAAGTCGATTGGCGATTCGACACATATGCATCCCGTGCGTGTCAAAGTAGCGGTGGTTTGTGTCCAGCATCTCGTGGAAAAATGCTTGGTGGCTCGACAAGCATGAATGGAATGATTTATTCGCGTGGTAATCGAATGGATTATGATGGTTGGGCTGAGGCTGGAAACATTGGTTGGGACTATGATAGTGCGTTAGAATATTTCAAAAAGTCTGAAGGGAATCTTTGGCAACCATTCTTGTCTGGACGTGAGCGTAGATATCACAACGGGTCAGGGCCGTTGAAAGTATCGTTCTTGTCGAATATAACATCACCATATCAACTCTTTGTCGATGCTGCCGCCGAAAAAAATGTGTCACTCATTCAAGATATCAATGCCGAAGACACAATCGGACTCGTGCTCACCCAATTTATGGCGGCCAATGGTCGACGTCAAAGTACAGCCAAAGCATTTCTGAATCCAGTAAAAGATCGCAAGAATCTGTTTGTCATGAAGCATTCGTATGTCACAAGTGTCTTGATCGATAAATCGAACCGAGCGTACGGAGTAAAACTTTCATACAAAGGCAAGCCATGGAAAGCGTACGCGAAAAAGGAAGTGATTTTATCTGCGGGATCATTCATGAGTCCACAGTTGCTCATGAGATCTGGCGTCGGACCCAAAAATGATCTAGAAAATCTCAAAATTCGAGTGAAGAGTGATTTACCCGTTGGCAAAAATTTGATAGATCAAGCTTTAACTCTCTTATTCTTTAAAGGTGACAATATATTGCCAGCCACAAGTCCAACCGACTCACTCGATGCCATTTACAATGTTGCTGTTCACAACTCGGGCGCATATGTCTCTTCATTTAAGTTGGCCGCATTTTTGAACACAGAAAACGGTGCAAAATATCCAAATTATGAAACGGTTTACAATATATTCCCTCGAAATAGTACATCAGAAATAAACTCACTCGTTGACTTACTAGGAATTGATCGCAACACTGCACAACCAGTGTACGAAATGAATAAAAACCATGATATTCTGCTGATAGATCTGTTTTTGCTACAACCGAAATCTACTGGAACCGTGAGACTGAACGGAACATCAGCATACAATAGACCAATCATTGATGTAAATTATTTCGAAGACGATAGTGATCTTGAAACACTGGCTGCTGCAACGAAAGAACAATCATCATACGCCAGTACGAAGGCATTCCGGTCAAAGAATGCCGAGCTAATAAGAATTCCGTTACCCAATTGCGATGGAAAATTCGAATACGGATCGATTGATTATTGGAAGTGTTACATCCAAGTGATAAGCAGCGGGAGTGCACATCATGTTGGCAGTTGCAAAATGGGACCAACGACTGACACCACTTCTGTGGTCGATCCAGAGTTGCGAGTTCACGGAATCAACGGTTTGAGAGTTATTGACGGCAGTGTGTAAGTATAGAATGGGCTTTATTCAATGGAATAGTCTTGTTCAATAGATAAAGCCTTGTTCAAAAAAGCAACAAAATGAGAAGAAGAATAAACAAAATCATTTCGTTCATTCTAGAATGCCTTACATCACTTCAGGACATCCAACAGCACCCATCGTGATGATAGCCGAAAAAGGTTCTGATTTTATCAAAAAGCAATATTTATTTTTGGATTAGGTTTAAAACTTTTGATGGTTCACACTCTAATAAAGGAAATGTTTTGATTGCACCAGATTTTTATTCTAATAATTTCATTAGTAGACTTTGGAACATAAACATTAAACAAATCTGAATAACAATTAAATTAATCATGGATGAAATAAATTCGCCTGAGTTTCAATATATGCTAGCTTATTCTAATGTTACAGAATAAAATCCCTGTATCTCCCTTGCGAATTATTGTAAAGAGAGGTAAATGAATTTTGAATTTAAAAAAATGTGGTTAATTTGATAAGCTGGACATTTGTTAAGCGGGCAATGGTAATTTTCTGCACTGAATCAAGAGCATTAAAATTAAACTTCAAAATTTACTATGTGGAGTTGATTATTCTGCACTTCAACGATTAGATCTATTTGCTATTTGCCAGTGATAAGATAAACATCAGAAGAAGAAGAAAAAATCATACAAAAAATATGAAATGTTCTCAGTAGAATAGAAATAATATGCAGGAAGAAAAAACAAGAACGAAAAGAGCAAAATGGGCAAAGAACAAGTTTGTGCTGCGAACATCGCGCATGATTCACAGACTTGTTCACTTCATGTGGCGTTATGAAGAATTCTCGGCAACAAAAATCAGGTGAGACAAAATCCGGATGAAAAATATGATGAATTCGGGAATGTTGAAAATCTGGACGGTATGAAAATACGGATGAACAAAAATCTGGACGAAAAAAAATCAGGGTGAAATTCCGGATTCTGTCACATTCCTTCATTATGACACCCAATAAACATCGACTGGCTGAAATAAGGCCCGTTCTAACGTTGATGATTTCAGTACGCCCAACGGTAATACTTACTGTCTTTTTCACCTAATTTACATGTTGCAACAACAGAAATCTTCATATAACAATATGACGTAGAAACTAACGCCATCTCACGACGCGTACCATTACCATATGAATGTATTATTGTAACCTCAAATTGTGTCCCATTCATTGTTTGATTAAATGTTGTCGCAGGTACGGGTCGCTAGATGGCGCTAGTTATGCACATTGTCTTAGCTGTCAGATTGTGCAAAATAAAAATATATTAATCATCGATTGATTCAAGTTAGATATCAAAAGAAACCATAAAAAAGAAACCCTTGATAATAACGCAATAAAAAACATTTTGTAAGATCACTCACTTACCCAGAGTGATTTAAATAAAACATATTTGAAGTGGTCAAGGAGCTAACCTAAAAATGTGACATTCGATAGAACCAGATTTATATTTGAATTACAAGAATATATTATTTCAAACCGTTTTCGCATTAATGTTGTTTATCGAATAAGTGTCTTTTTTGCATGCACGAAAAATTTGAGAATAGTAATCGAAGCCTAGGCGTTCAGTATTTAAAATGTGTATAGAATTTATGAAAGCGCGATGGAACAAAGAACATTTAAACTGATACAACCAAATTGTTTGCTGTCAAATCCTGTCTCACTCACACCAACCGTCACACTGACTCGTTCGTGTACGAATTGCTGTTAGCGTAAAAGAGATGTTGTTCGCAGTAAACTCAGTTTAGATGTTCTTTAGGCTTTCATTGAAGCCTATTGTATTCACTCGGGAAGCAATCATCTAGTGAAATCAAAAAGGCATTGATGGTTGATCAAGAATATTAATTTTACGAAGCATTCTATAGAAATGTAAATAAATCACGATTACGTAATTAAAAAAAAGTCGATTGAATTGATTGGCTCGAGTTGATATGAATATAAAATATTTCGAAAACACTTAAATAATTCAGAGCAGCGTGAATCGTATTTATTTCGACGGAAAGTAATAGAATCGAATTAGTTTTGTTCAATCGTCGGAGAGAGTAGAACCAACTTTATATAAACATTGTACTT